GGACACAGGGACAGGGGGTGACAGAGACATTTTGGGGACGGAGGGGACACGGGGGGTGACAGGGACAGGGCGGGGCAGGGGCCCGCGGGTGGCCCCGGGGTCACAGTCGCGGTGTGGCGATGTCACGGTGTCACCGATGTGTCACCGATGTCACGGTGTCACTGATGTCACAGTGTCACCGATGTCACGGTGTCACCGATGTCACAGTGTCACTGATGTCACAGCGTCACCGATGTCACAGTGTCACCGATGTGTCACCGATGTCACGGTGTCACCGATGTGTCACCGATGGCACGGTGTCACCGATGTCAGTGTCACCGATGGCACGGCGTCACCGTCACTCACAGTTTCGTCTCCCCCCTCCCCCCCATTAATTAATTATTTCATTAATTAACTCATTAATTAAAAACGTCATCGGCAGCGGGGCGGGGGAGGGGACAGCGGATGGTGCCAGCCCATCCCCCACGGCAGGGGGGGACAGGAGTGTCCCCAACAGCCGCCGGTGCCACCCCACGGCCGGGGGAGGGGACGCCGCGGGGTCACGGGGTCACCCTCGGGGTCACAGTGTCACCTGTGGGGTCACAGTGTCACCTGTGGGGTCACGGGGTCACAGTGCCACCCTCGGGGTCACAGTGTCACCTGTGGGGTCACCCCCAGGGTCACAGTGTCACCTGTGGGGTCACAGTGCCACCCTCGGGGTCACCCCCAGGGTCACAGTGTCATCTGCAAGGTCACAGGGTCACCTGCGGGGTCACAGTGCCACCCACAGGGACGTGGTGTCACCCACAGGGTCACAGTGTCCCCTGTGGGGATGTGGCGTCACCCACAGGGACGTGGTGTCACCAATGGGGTCACAGTGCCACCCATGGTGTCACAGTGCCACCCACAGGGACGTGGTGTCACCAATGGGGTCACAGTGCCACCCATGGTGTCACAGTGCCACCCACAGGGACGTGGTGTCACCGATGTAGTCACGGTGTCACCCACAGTGATGTGGTGTCACTCACAGGGACATGGTGTCACCCGTGGGGTCACGGTGTCACCCACAGGGACATGGTGTCACCTATCTGGTCACAGTGTCACCCGCGGGGTCACGGTGTCACCCACAGGGCAGGGACACCCTGGGCTGTCCCCTGGGGCTCTCTTGGTGGCCGCGGTGTCACCGCTGGGGACACGGCTCGTGTTCGTGGTGGCACCTCAGGGACCAGGGGACAAAGCGTGTCACTGGGGACACCGGTGTCACTGTCCCCATCCTTGTCACAGTGTCACCTCGGTGCCACCGAGCTGTCCTTGTCCTCACCGGTGTCACTGTCCCCATCCTTGTCACAGTGTCACCTCGGTGCCACCGAGCTGTCCTTGTCCTCACCGGTGTCACTGTCCCCATCCTTGTCACAGTGTCACCTCGGTGCCACCGAGCTGTCCTTGTCCTCACCGGTGTCCCCTCCCGGGTCACACGGACGCTGTGACCGCTGTCCTCGCTGTCACTCGGTGCCACAGGGACGTGTCCTTGTCCCCCTGCTGCCACCTCACGGGGACCCGTCCGTGTCCTCGCTGTTGTCACCGCGAGTGCCACCACGAGTCCTCGTCCTCGCCGGTGTCACCCGGGGGTGCCACTCCACGGGGACCTGGCCTTGTCCTCGCTGTCCCTGCCGGTGTCACCCGGTGACATCTTCCTCCTCCTCGGTGTCACCGCAGCGGCCCCTGCGTGTCCGTGTCCGTGTCCTTGTCCCCGCGGGTGCCTCGGTGTCCCTGCTGTCACATCGGGTGCCACCCGCCGTCTCCTTGTCCTCGCTGGTGTCACCTCGGGAGCCGGGGGGGCCCCTCCGTGTCCTCGCTGTCACCGCGGGGCCACCGGCGCGTCCCCGGCGCTGGGGGGGGGGGCCGGGGGTGTCCCCAGGGGTGTCTGGGTGTCCCCAGGGTGTCTCCAGGGTGTCCCCAGGGGTGTCCCCGGGATGTCCCCAGGGTGTCCCCTCTGTCCCGGGGATGTCCCCAGGGTGTCCCAGGGTGTCTGGGTGTCCCCAGGGTGTCTCCAGGGTGTCCCCAGGGGTGTCCCCAGGGGTGTCCCAGGGGTGTCCCCTCTGTCCCAGGGTGTCCCCGGGCTGTCCCAGGCTGTCCCCAGGGGTGTCCCCAGGGTGTCCCCAGGCTGTCCCAGGGGTGTCCCCTCTGTGCCCTCTGTCCCCCCCCCGGTCATACCTCGGACTCGAGGCTGGAGAAGTGGGCGGAGCCTCTGCGCGCCCCCAGCGGCTCCGCCCCCCCGCGCCCCCCCCCGCAGCTGTGCTGGGGGGGTGGGGGAGGGGACGGCGCCCCCCGCGGCGGGGGG